TTGTGTATGTTCAATTTAAACTCTACAGCTGAGAAAACAGATTTGGAGAGATTAAATACCTTGCTCAGGGCTATAAAGCTATTAGGCTGAAAACCAAATGAAATTGCCACTCTTGACCGCTTTTCCTCTACAAAAAGAGCAATTTCTTCTGGATTAACCTAATAATGGCAACTTTAGAATGATGACTCTGTTGTGTCTGGTACCAACGAGCCCTCATGGTGTGGTGTAGTGGTTACTCGTTGGGCTGCGATCCTCATGGTTGGCAGATTCAAAACCGCCAGCACCTTTGTGGGAGAAAGACTGGGCTTTCTACTCCTATAAATAGTTACAGTCTCGGAAACCCCTAGGTTTCTAAGGCAGTGAGTTTGGTTTGTTGCAGGTACCAAAGGTCACATTAGCACTTTGCTCTATGACACCCACAGTCAGCCACTAGGAACAGTTTGAGATGCACTTAATTTTCTCTGGGCTTTTTTTTTTTTTAATGGAACAAGATTTGAATGCTTTTAAAAATTTTTTTACATAGTTGTAATCCTTCAGAGGAGTTTAGATTTTCTTTTGAAATTAATCTTTTAATACATAATACTTTCTCATTATAGACAGTACATTCACTTATACAGATTTGTCTTCTTTAGCTTGACTGTATTATTTCTCTCAGAAAATTTATTTCCAATTTCATATTTTTAAAAAGTCCAATAATGCTGATCAAGAATAAGGTTTTTTTTCCTTCTGTATTTACTATGAATTCTTTGGGATGGATTCCCAAAGTGGGTTTATGGAATCCAGGAGAGTCAAGTTCTTACTAAAATTTTCTAATTGATTTCCAAATGGATTGTAGTGATTTGCGCTTCCACCAACAATGTTTGAGAAGGCTTGTTTCATTGCCGTCTGTGACTGTAGTTTAAATATGTAGGGTTAAAAAAATATATATGTAGGGTTTTTTCCTTCTTCAGATTAGAAAAAAAGTTGCAGTTATGAGAAATACAGAAATGTTTAAAGAAAAGAAACCTCACCTAAAATTTCCCCATGCAGATACGTCACTGTGGACGTTGTATTTACTTTCCAGCCTTTACACATATTTATATTAAAATACTTATATATATTTATACACACAATAAGTTCATATGGTCTATGTATATATTTTTATTGCAATTCTATTTGTTCTATTTTGCAAACTCTAATTTTCCATTTTAACCCCTTTACTTACCTCATTAAATAATTCTTCTGTAGCATCACCACATTCTCAGGTTTATTTGATTAGGTAGTAAATGAACACAGTGAAAAATCGGGACAAAAACCACAGAAGATTCTACAGTGTGATTCTGTATCCACTTTCAGTTCCCCTCCCCAGATACCACAACTCTGCCAGTTTCTTGTGTTTTTCCCCAGGGATGTTCTATTCGGGGATGAGAATCGATCACAGAGCATCATGTTTAATGATAGTCTAATGTATAAAAAAACCTCACTGCCATTGAATCGTTTCTGACTCATAATGACCCCCAAAGGGCAGAGTAGAACTCCCCCTATGGATTTCCGAGACTACAACTACTACATGGGAGTAGAAAGTCTCATCTTTCTCCTACAAAGCGCTGGTGGCTTCAAACACGCTTGATCTTTCGATTAGCAGCCAAACAAGTAACCACAACGCTACCAGCGCTTCCATAGCTAAGATACAGAGTGTGTAATTTATACCCCGGGCACCATTCATTTCAGTGGAGGCTTTTGTGTTGCTGTGAGACTGAGCAGGTTGCAACTGAGCATCCAGTTTAAAAAGGACCAAGGAAGAAAGGCCCGGTGATGCAGTTCTGAAAAGCATTCAGGGGAAGCCCTGTGGGTTACATCGGTCCAGGCCCGTGGGGCATGGGGTCGCCTGAGTCTGGGGCAGACTCAATGACAGCTAACAACAACGATTTCTTCAACAAGTCTCTTATTGAACCTGCACACATCTTTGCAAAGACAATCCCTGTACATAGATTTTGATGCACATCTCTGAGTATTTCCTTAGCATGGTTTCCAGGAAGGGGACAGGGTCTTAACCATTTGGACTTTGGGGCTACTTCATCCCACCAGAATGCTGCCCACCCATGGTGGGTGAAGAGAGCAGCTTTCTTACACTCTCACTGCCATTGAGTTGCTGACTCAGAGACTGTAACTGAGGAGTAGAAAGTCCTGTCTTTCTCCCTCAGAGCTGCTGGTGGTTTGAACTCTCCAGCATACAGATCGCAGCCCAACTTGTAACCACTACACTATTAGAGCTCCAATTTCTCACACGAGGCCTCTATCAATTTTTTTTTTTGCTCTTTGAGAACCTGATAGATTAAAAATCACCACCAACAAACCTTTCGTTTACACAGCTTTGTGATGAGCTGCGTGATGTGGATGAGACATTCGCACGTCTTTTGACCATTTCAGTTCAAATACTCTGTTCATTTTCAACTATTGAGGAATTCATGTTCATACAGTTTTATGAAGTATTATGAAGGAGTCTCAATATTAAGAACCTCTGCTTATTTAATAAAGGAGAGTGGCATTTCATTGTTGGTTTAAAATTCCACGTATCTGGCTATGAACGAGCCTGAACATTTCTTTGCGTGTTTACATTTCCTCTTTTGTGAATTCTTAGTTTGTTCTGTTTTCTCATTCCTCCCAGAGAACTTTAAGCAGTGGACAAATCAGCCATTCTTTGGGGTGGCCAAAATAAACTTCTGCCTGGCCCTTGGGCTGGGCTTTGCTCTCACCATCTGGCTGCATCTGCCATACTTGCCTGGCGTTCAGCGATTGCCTTCCTTTGGCTGGATTGCGACCATCATGAGCTTCTGTGAAGGTGCCCCCTAGCTCTGGAAAAGGTCTTTAGTTTCTCCTAACCCATTCCTTCCTGGGCACTTCTCCTTCTTCCCTTCTTAGGGGTTTTGTGGGTGGTCGGAGAACAGAACTGGTAGTTGCTGACTGGGAAATGTGATATGTCATTCCCCCTCGGCCACTAAAGAGGTGGAGGAGGAGGGGCTGATTCCCATGAACCTCTGGGGCCATGTATCTATTTGTGGTGATGGGAGTTGTGGTTTGTGGCTGTAGCTCAGCAGATAAGGAAGAGTGTCTGGGATTCTTGGATGAGAATGAGACCTCTCCACTTCCTGTCTCCCAGTCACCTTCATTTTCTTCACCCTCATGTTCTTCCCTATTAACCTCTGGATCTTTGAGTGGAAGAGGAATCTATCAATCCCCATTGGCTGGAGCTATTTCATTGGTTGGCTGGTGTTTTTCCTATACGTTGTCTGTGGTAAGTGGCCAGGAGGTGCCTGGGGTGGGGAAGGAAACATGGGTGGATGGGGGCAGATACAGTGTGGAGGGAGGGGTGAGGTGGGGGCAGGGCAGTTCTCAGGGATACCGTTTCCCCAAAAGTAAGACATCCCCCGAAAATACGACCTACTTACAGTTTTGCCTCTCGCTGAAATATAAGGCACCCCTGAAAATAAGACCCCCTGAAGCTACCATAACTCTAGACTCTGGACTGTAGGGGGAGGGGGGACCGCTGCTACGCAGCTCACTGTTGGCCACAGCGCAGCCGGAGCAGACAGGAAGTGCGAGGTCTCTTTTAATAAAACAATAAATGTGTACTATATTCTTCTTCATGGAAAAATAAGACACCCCCTGAAAATAAGACCTAGTGCATCTTTAGGAGCAAAAATTAATATAAGACACTGTCTTATTTTCGGGGAAATAGGGTAGGTTCTTGGGGACTGTCTTCCCTTTGATCTCACCTTGCTTTGTCACTTTCCCTCCAACGCTCCAACTGTCTTCTTCCCCATTACCTATCTTTTCCTAGCAGCCCTTTGCTACTTCAACCAAAACAACTTCTGGAGCCTAGTTCTGATGCGCCCCTCTGGCACCGTGTCCTGCAGCAGTATGAGCTTCTCTGAAGACTCTGAAGGGGAACACAGGGATTCAAAGCAACCACCTGGATTACCTGGATCCTCATAGAAAAGAAGGCGTCTTCGTGCCCTTTACTGAGGTCTCCTGAGGACCACGTTCTGTCCACCCATCTGAATCTTCTCCTCACCCGTCCCTCTCCCCCTCTCGCTCAGTGGAAGGAATCAGCCAGGGACGGACTTCGGACGCGCTGTGCTCCTCGTCCTCGTTCCTGCCTTCCCTCCAGCGTGGGTGACCTGGAATAAAGCGTCTCTTTTGAAAATCATGCCCGGCAGTTAAGCTGGCATTTGGTAGAGGGAAGTAGAAGAGGCGAAATTATGCTTGTTTCCCCGTTCTCCCTTCCTACGAATCTGTTGGTACCCTTGGGTGCCTCAACCTGCCAAACCTCTACCACGGGGCCCTGTACACGAGCAAATAAATGCCTCTCGGGAGCTCAGCTGCCTCCGCCTTTGTGGTGTTTGTTAGCCAGTGGACGTGGACCGTCACGGCTGGTCAGGAGACGGCCAGCACTTCGGAACCGGTGGGTTTCCACATAGTGAAGAATTCAAAAGCAAGATGGACCTGGAACGAGAGGCAGGTGAAAAACCGAGAACACCCAGGTCTTCGCTAGCGGCCGAGCTTCCCCGTCTGCGAGCCAGGGAGGGTTGGTTCTCAACCTGCGGGTCGCGACCCCTTAGGGGGTCGGAACGACCCTTTCACAGGGTCGTTCATACAGTGACGAAGGAGCCACGAACATAATGTTATGGCTCGGGGGTGGGGTGGGTCACCCCAACACGAGGAACTGTCTGAAAGGGTCGCGGCGTGAGGAAGTGGAGAACCTCTGGATCGGCGCCACCTGGCTTCCGGCGCCGGCGGCCGCGAGCGCGGCTCGGTCTCGCGAGAGTCCTGTGCGTGCGCGTGCGTGCGTGTGCGCGTGCGCGCGCTCCGACCCCGCCTTCCGGGTGAGCGCGTGGCTGAAGGGGGCCGGCTTCCCTGGTCAGCCTCGGCGCTGTTGGGGTGCTGGGAGCTTGTGGGGTTCCGCGACGGGGACCGTGCGGGGGCCGTGGTGTGGGGTCCGAATCCCGCTCCGGGCGCCTTCGCTCCCTCCTCGCTCCCCGGCTGGGCCGCCCCTCCTGCGACCCGACCCCTCGCCGGGCGACCCGGCCGCCTTCCGAGCCCGGTGCCGCCGGCTGTGCCGCCACGGAGGTCGGTGTATGGGATGACTGGACCGCGATCCCGCCCCGGCCACCTGTCCAGATGGCCCCGAACGTCCAGATACCAGCCCGCCCTTGCTGCTGAAGCTCAGGCCCTGGCAGTGGGAATCAAACACGAAAGGAGACGTGTGAGCGTCAGGCCCCAGAACCCAGAGACAGACCGCTGCTGGCTTGAGCAGCATGGCCACGCCCGTGGAGTCAGATAGCTCACGCCGAGAGGCTGGCCCCGGGAAAGTATGTTTCATGATACATGGTTGATCTTTGTTATTGAACGTCCATCCCGCCGGAGTTGTAATGCCATTCCGGCAGAGGAGGGAATTGGAGACATTCATGTATGTATCATGAGGTTGGACCATATGGCACTGGCGTTTTAGCTCTTAAATATTGGCAGTTATATGTGGCTCGATACAGGAAGGAAGGGAAGAGGAAAAAAGTATTGCTACAAAATCATAGAAACCTTGCCTACACAAAAACATCAAAAGTGTGAAGCTGTCACTTGATATATCTCCCATAGCGGCCTATACATTTCTGAAAGCACTGCTGTTACCATCTTTTGAATGCTTCCCTGAAGAATTCTGGGCTCTGATTGACACCACGTCAAAACCGCACTTTGGACCTCCTCGATGGGCTCCATTCGTGTTTCTTTTCCATGTTCTTTGAGTTTGGGGAACAAAAAATATATGCAGGGGCAACATCAGGGTGTAGGATGGATCAGGTAAGTTTTCCCGGTGAAATTCTCCTAGAATCCTCAAAGAATGAGCATGATCGTGGAAAATACTAAGATGCAACATTCCTGGCCTTTTTCTCACCAATGCAGTTTAGCAATTTTCATAAGACTTCTTCCTAATAAGCCTCTGTGAGCGTCCTGTGTCCTTTGAGAAAATCTATCAAGGTTTCTCCTTTGAAGTCCCCAAACACAGTCATCATAACCTTCTGAGTTGACTTCTCCGACTTGAATTTAACTAGTCCAACAGAAACCACTCCAGTGCATTACTGGGAGAACTTGTTTGGAGCCATCCACTGATGACAGGCCATGCCTGTTAATACAAATCTTAGTCGTTACTGGTTTCATTTATTTATTTATTTATTTTAAGTGAATCATCACAACAATCCATCATCCAGTTGTATTGAGCACACTTGTACATATGTTGCCATCAACATTTTCAAAACAATTTCATTGGAGCCCTTGGTATCAACTCCTTTTCTTTCCCCTCCCGCCCTCGTGAAGCCTTGATCAGTGAGATGTTACTGTTATTTTGTGTCTTACACTGTCGTCTCCGTTCACAGAGACTTGTTTAAACATGTCGTGTATGGAATCAATGTGTGCATGGGTGGACTAGACCCCTCATAACAACACTTTTCTACTTATCCCTGTAAATGACCAATTTCTGTTTGATTTGGGGCCTTTTTAGGATTCTTATGGAACCCTGGTGGCGTCATAGTGGTTACACGTGGAGCTGCTAACCAAAAGGTCAGGAGTTTGAAACTACCACTTGCTCTATGGGAGAAAGATGAGGTTTTCTACTCCCTTAAAGAGTTACAGTCTCAGAAACCCACAGGGGCAGTTCTCCCCTGTCCTATAGGGTCATTATGAGTCAGAATCGACTCGATGGCAATGAGTTTGGGAGTTTTTTTGTTTTTAAGGTTCTTATTCTTTTGTCATACCTGATCAAGGAAAAGTTGCTAGTTCCAAGCAAATGTCAGCAAAAACCCTAACATAGAGGCTGGGTAATTGGATAGAATAAACATTCCACAAATCCCTACTTTATATCCTCACTGTACTACTCTTTATAGTAACAAATAAGGATTTAGTGGAAGACTGATTGAATTAGACATTCTAGGGAAAGGGGCACCAAAAAAGGAGAAGTTAGGATCCCTGCCTTAGCGATCCACATAACCTAACTGGAGAAAGTGACCTGGTGATTATTTTACAGGCGTCACAAACTCAAATGCCCACAGAAGCTAAGCAGGTAACAAATACATTATGTACTAATCATTTATACATTTCCTTTTATGATAAAGACCTTGTGCATAAATGATCTATTTTTAGATAACAAGCTATTCCAAACTTTACTGGCTTAAAATAATAAACATTATTTCAGTTTCTTTTTTTTTTTTTTTTTTAACATTATTTCAGTTTCTGAGGGTCAGTTTAGCTGTTTTTGACTCAGGGTCTGTCATGAAGACTTTTAGATATACCACCAAAAGAACAATTCATTTAAGTAAAATGGATGTTAGGCTTCCTAAAAAAAAAAAAAGCAAAACTTCTCTGAAAAAACACCGATAAGTGAATGAAAAGACAGAGTTAAAAGGCAAGTCACAGATTGGGAGAAAATATTTGCAAAGCAAATAACTGATCGTTCAATTCAGAAGAGGATGTGGAATGAGAGATATCATTGCTGCTGTCAGATGGACCTTGGCTGAAATCAGGGGATATCAGAAAAATATTTACCTGTGTTTTATCGACTATGTAAAGGTATTTGATTGTGTGAATCACAGCCAATTCTGGATAACAATGAATAATGGGAATGCCAGAGTACTTGATTGTGCTAATGCAGAACTTGACCACAGACTAAGAAATGTGTTTGAACAGAACAAGGGAACACTGCATGGTTTAACAGCAGGAAAGGGTATGCGTCAGGGTTGTATCCTTTCACTACACTTAGTGTGTATGTTGACCCAGTAATCTGAGAGGCTGGACGCTATGAAGAGGAGTGCAGCCACAAGATTAGAGGAAGACTCAGTAACAACCTGAGAAATGCTGATGATACACCCTTGTTTGCCTAAAGTGAAGAAGAATGAAGCACTTATGATGAGGCTCAAAGGTCATAGCGTTCAGTGTGGATTACACCTTAAGAAAACAAAATTACAACGGGAACAATAGGCAACATCATCATAAACGAAAATATTGGAGTTGTCAAGCATTTAATTTTATTTGGATCCACAGTCAATGCTTATGGAAGCAGCAGTCAAGAAATCAAATGACGTATTGTACTAGGCAATGCTACAAATGAATCTCTTTAAGGTATTAGAACACAAAGATGCCACTTGGATGACCGAAACCTGTCAGACACAAGCCAGAGTATTTTCAGTCGTTTAATTTACATTCAAAAGCTGGACAGTGATTAAGGAAACTTAAAGAAGAATTGATGCCTTTGAACGATGGTGTTAATGAATAAAATAGAACATGAACTACCAAAAGAACAAGCAAATTTGTTTAGAAAAAAATTCAACTAGAGGAGCTGGTACCAAAGTCTTAAGTGGAGAACAAATGTTTTGAGAATGATGAGGGCAACGCATGTACAAATGTGCTTGACACAATTGATTTATGTATGGATTGTCATAAGAGTTGTATGAGCCCCTAATAAAATGATTAAATAACAAGTACAACTAGAATGCTCCTTAGAAGTAAGGATGGCAACCCTTTGTCTCATGTACTTTGGATGTGTCACCAGGTGAAACCAGTCCTTGGAGAAGGACATCATGCTTGTGGAGGTTTAGGCGGGGAAAGGAAGACCCTCAGTGGCTGTTACAGTAGCCTCAAAAATAGCAATGGTTGTGAGAACACGACCAAGTAGGGTTGGCATGCATAAGGTCACTTTGAGTTGAAACTGCTTCAAGGGCACCTAACAACTGCAACAACATATCTGATGAAGGACTTGTAGCAAAAACATACAAAGACGTCTTCAAGCTCAATGGTAGCCAAAGAAACCGCTCAATTAAGAATGATCAAAATGTATGTATAGACACTTCACCAAAGACAGTGTATACTTGCCACAGGACATTTTTAGGCTGATGGTACTATCCTATATGATACTGAATTGGTGAACATGTAACCTTATACAAAACCCATAGGATCCATTGAACACAAAGAGTGTAAACTACAGATGTTAATCATGTATAAATTTTGGTTTATTTATTGTAAAAAATGTACCACACAAATGCAAAGTGTTAATAGGAGAAAAAAGTGCTCAGTGGTGAGAAGGGACATAGGGGAATTCTCTATACAATTTTCCCATAAACATAAAACTGTTCTAAAAAACCAAAATTGATTAAAAATCAGTTCCAAGTTCAGAATCGTGTTAAGAGACTCTTTGGGTGTTGTATCAGGCCAGGTGGGGAGAAACAAATCCATAGGCT